CACTATGGATACGCATGATTTATTGTTACAAAACATCTCAAGCTCTTTTTTTTTTTTTCACATACGGTCTCTAAAAATTTTTCGCCGAAAACGGATTTACCCAACAGATGTTGACCGTTCGTCAGATTCCTTTGTATAATTCATGCTGCATCTGGGAAACATTTAATTGATTTGTGCGCGAAATAATTACCTTAGTTGTTCTCATTCTCTAATCCTTTTGGTCGCCAGCGAGGTGGTTCATTTCTAAAAAGTACGGGTTGATGTATTAAATAAATAACTACATGAGGGTTGAACAATGGTAAATAGTTCCAATTCTTACCCCTCTTCACTCCTCATACACTTCAACCAGATGGAGAAAGGGTTTATAAATTCAATAGGATCAGATAAAAGTCCATTAACAATGTCCTTATAATGAGGGTAGCATCGGTGTGGCTTCGGCAGAGGCTTGTCTCCAATGTCCAATTTTTTATTGGTAACTATCCCTAGCCTTGTCAGAGGGCCTTGATATTGTGAAACTTCGTGCGTTTGTTTATCAGAGTCGGAACTACTCATTATGCAATAGTAAGAAAAGATTGCAGTGAGGCTCCTTTTTATATTAAACATGCAGGGCCTATTATCATCAGTCACATGTTGATGATCCACGCCAGATTATTTATTTTTAACGAATGCGCACTGTATGCATCAAAAAAATAATCATTGGTTAAATAAGTTATTTAAATATATAAATCATTCATAAATAATTATCGTATATGATTTGCCTAAAAGAGTTTTTTTAAATAAACAATTTTTTTATTATGGTTAAATGAAATGTTAAAAATTTTTTATGATATTATAATATAAATTTAAATTACGAAAATAATAATAAATAAATATAATAAAAATAATAATAATTTATACTTAAATATAAAAAAAATAATAAATAATAATTTATACTTAATAAAAAAAAAACTTTTTTAAATATATTTTTTTAAAAAGTTTATAAATTAAGTTTCTTATATTTATACATAATTGTATATATTTTGTTATTGAATAATTTGATACTAAATAATAATATTAAGATATTTTTTTTAATATTAAATTTTATAAATTTATTATTTAAAAATATATTTTTTTAAAAAAATCAAATGTTTTTATAAATCAAATATATATATATATAATCAAGGATTTATATTTATATCAATTGAAATTCAATTAAATAAAAATTTTTTTAATATAAAAAATTTATATATTTATTTATTTAAAAATTAAAATATTTGAATTTAAAAAAAATTTTTTTAATAAAATAAAAAATAAAACCAATATTATTATTATTAAATTTTAATTTTTTTAAAAAAATTTATCAATTGTTTTGTTTTAAATTAAAATAAAAAATCAATATTAGATATATAAATAAATTATTTTTTTTTAAAATAAAAATAAAAAATTATTTTTATTAAAATCAATATAATATTTTTATTTGAATCTTGAATTTTATAATATATAAGTTAATTTTAAAAGTTTAATTATAAAAATTTAAGTTATATAAAAATAAAACTTTTAATTAAATTTATTAAATATTAAATTATTTTAATAAAATTAAAATTAATTTATTTTTTTTAAAATTTTTTTTATTAAAGATTAAATTATTAATTATAATTACATATATTTTAATAATAATAATATTTTTTTTTATAAATAAATATTAATTTTTTTATTTAATTTATATATGACAATATATATATATATAATAAAAGAAATAATATCTTTTATATATAATCTGAAAAAAAATAAATGCATTTCCCAAGATCCATAAGAATCTTAAGTCCATTATAAATTTTAGATAAATTCAATAAGTAGATGAATAAACAAGAAGAAATAATCTAAAGAGATTGTTAAATAAGAAAAACTCTTGAAACCAAAAAATCTTGATATACTTGAGGGTATGCAGTAATTATTTAATGAATTAACTATCTTATAA